TCCCCGCCCTCTTTCTGTGAGACTCTTTCACCACCATGAGTTACGCGCATTTTTGGGTGACCTCGCCTGCCCCCCAAATTGGTGTCCTTTCTCGTGCCTCGATGCGGGCTCGACGCGGACTCGACGCGGATTCGGCGTGGAGTCGACGCAGATCCGACACGGTTTCGACACGCGTCCCACGAGTCCGACATGGATTCGACACGGATTCGACGCGGATAGGGCCGCGACGGGACAGACAAGTTCCCCCGAGGGTGCAACATAACATCAGAACCTTCGATCGAAACGTTATCAGGGCAAGATGCAGTCGGGACAGGGGAAGGGCACAGCCATGTGCACCTCAGCGTTTTTGCATCGACACTCCTGTGTCGGGTTCTCGTTTTGATCGAGCGCAGCTCGGGCGTCTCCTTCCTCATCATCCCTCCTCCGCCCTCTCCCGCATCGCCACCTCCGCCTGTCTACTCCTGCATCCGGTGCGCTCCGCCGAGGGCTGCGAGCTGCGCAACCGTCGCCACTTTCGCGGGCTCTTGGGAGGTCCGGCGGAGTCGGGGGGCACGCGGGTCCACTTGGGACCTCGCTGCTCGCTGGGGAGGCTGCGAGCTGCACAACCGTCGCCACTTTCGTGGGCGCCTGGGAGACCCAGCGGAGTCGGGGGCCACGCGGGTCCATTAGCGGCCTCGCTGCTCCCTGGGAGGCTGCGAAGCGCGCGACCGTTGCCACTCTCGTGGGCTCCTGGGAGATCCCATTGCGTCGAGGGCCACGCGGGGTCATTCGGGACCTCGCTGTTCCCTGGGAGGCTGCGAACCGCACAATCGTCGCCGCTTTCGTGGGCTCCTGGGAGGTCCAGCGGAGTCGGGGGCCACGCGCATCCAGCCAGGTCCTCGCTGCTCCCTGGGAGGATGCGGATTCTGCAACTGTCGCCTCTTGCGCGGTCTGCTGGGAGGCGCGGCGGAGGTGAGGGCGCTGCAGAGTCATCTGGGACCTCGCGGCCCCCTCGGGGGCTGCGAACTGCCCCAATGTCGCCACTCTCGTGGGCTCCTGGGAGGCACGGCAGAGGTGAGGGCAGCGCAGATCCATAGGAGACCTCGCGGCTCCCTTCGGGGCTGCGAAACGCGCAATTGCCCACTTTTTGGGTGCACTCGGGAGGCACGGCGGAGAGGGGGGGCAGCGCAGCCGTGCCCATCCGGCGAGGCGTTTTTGTGTATAGAGCGTGCATGCAGAGATTCGCCTCGCGTGAAAGGCGCTGGGTACGCCTCGAGTAATTATCAGGAGGGACAAAAAACACACAGACACAATTAATCGTCGATTCCCCAGGAAATATGGGAAAATATGGGAAGTGGGGGGCAAGACAAAAACTTAGAAAATATGGGAAAATATGGGGAACCTTTTTATTTGTGTGTATTTATTTGTGTGTCCCAGGGCCCCTTCAAATTATTTTTTGCGAAGGGTCGAGAAATGGTTCGGAAGTCTCGGGCGAAAGGGCCGCTGGACCGTGCCGGACCGGGCGGTCTGGGCTCCCCGTCCCCCCCTTGTGGGACTCCTCGGAGGCCTTTTTCGGTGCCTCTGCCAGGAAGGATCGCAGCCGTCGAGGCCAAGCGTGAGCCCGACAGGGGTGAACGTCTCAGGCCATCAAAATGTGGCTCTCGCCTTAGCGCGGCGCACATTCGTTGTAAAAGTTGCAAGAATTTCACGGGTTGAGGGCGGTTGGTTTTCAAAATGTGGCTCTCGCTTTAGCGCGGCGCACATTAGTTTAAACAAATTCGCAAGCAGGCGGTTCCTTTTCAAAATGTGGTTCTCGCTTTAGCCCGGCGCACATTCGTTTATACAAATTAGCCCAAATTTCGCAGATTCCCATCGTCAACGTACCAGAAACGGTGTTTTGGAAGGACTCAGGATTACGCGGGCGCAGCAGTTACGTTGATTTTCTGTGTTGAAGTCTTAGGAATGGCGTTCTGGCACGATTCAGGATCGTCGAGACGCAACCGTCAGGTTGATCCGTGGCGTTGGAATCCCGAGAACAATGTTTTGGCATGCTTCAGGGTCTTCAAACGGGTGTCTTCCAACGAGGCAGTTCCATCAATGGAAGTGAACTGTTGTAGGGGCCTGTGAAGAGGGAGCTTGCAGGGAGGGTTTACTCCAACATCGTTGGTGACTCTTGGGTTTACACTGGTCCTCCTCCTGCTCCTCCTCCTCCTCTTCCTGGTTCCTCCTCCTCCTCCTCATCCTCCTCCTCCCATGTGTGACCCTTATGTGGTCATTTGTTTGTTCCACCTGTATACGAAGCCTCCAGCGAGACGCCATCCAGGAACATGTGGCGCCAACCCCTTTGGATGGGGGAGGGAGGGGCATCTGGAAGAGGGAAGAGAGGAACTCGCTACGGTGGAAACCCATGCCAAGAAACACCCTGCTTTTCTCCAGGGTGCGAAGGGTTCCTTGTGTTTCGATTGTTTGGCTATGGAGCGCGCGACGTTCCCACCAGAAAATCAACGGACGTCCTGGGGACTCAGGGTTGGGTTTCTTGCGGAAGGTTTCTTGTGGTCCAGCTCCTACTGTATCCCGCCTCCGCCCAGAGGGCTGGTGGGACTCTGGGGTAAAGAGCGGGGGAGGCGGAGCCGGAGCCGGAGCCGGAGCCAGAGGAGGAGGAGGAGGAGGAGGGGGAGGCGGAGGCGGAGGCGGAGGCGGAGGAGGAAGCGGAGGAGGAAGAGGACGAGGAGGAGGAAGAGGAGGAGGAGGAGGAGGAGGGAGGAGGGGAGGAGGAGGAGAGGAGGAGGAGGAGGAGGAGGAGGAGGAGGAGGAGGAGGAGGAGGAAGAGAAGAAGAAGAAGAATAAGAAGAATAGAAGAAGAAGAAGAAGAAGAAGAAGAAGAAGAAAAAAGGAAGGGAGGGAGGAGGAGGAGGGGGCTTCGGGACGCGGCGACCAGCCCCGTGGCCAGGAGGGCGGCCGGCCGTGTTCGGGGGCAGCTGCCTCGAGTGCGCCCGCCGCCCAGCCCCCCCGCCCCCGCGAGGGGGAGGCGCGGGCGGGGGGCTACATTCCCTCCCTCCATCCCTTCCTCCCTCCATTCCCTCCCTCCATCCCTTTCTCCCTCACTGCGCCCTCCTCCATCCCGGACTCCATCCCCCTTCCCTCCATCCCTCCCTCCTCCACTCCCTCCCTCCCTCCCTCCTCCCTCCCTCCTCCCGCCCTCCCTCCCTCCCTCCCCCAGGGAGGGCCTCCCCAGCAGCCCTCGAAAGTGGCGACAGTTTCGCAGAGCGCAGCCCCCCAGGGATGGCGAGATCCGCACAACGCAAGAGGAGACAAGAGGGGAGCGGGAGACAGGAGGCGGGAGGAGGAGGAGTAGGAGGAGGAGGACTGGAGACCGCAGTGCTCTATTCAAAACGAATACCCAACCAAGGAGGGTTGGGAAAAGGAACCAAAACCAAAACCGTAAGAAGTCCAGCACGCCAGGCACCCTTCTGATGAATCAACAGGGGGCGACGGATCTTGTGGCCTTCGGCCCATCCCACCACCAAGCCTGGGTCGCTGACCAGAGGCCCCTGAGAGGCCTCGCGGGGTCTCCTTCCGCAGCCATTTGGGCCCAAGGGTTCGCTGCTCGAGGCTTGCCTGGGCAGGGCCATGGGGGTGCAAGGTCCGCCGCCAGGCCCACCCGCCGTGGCGGCATGTCCGTGTGCGGGGTGGTGGAGGTGGCCGTGCACTTCGAGAGCTTCAGGATCGGACTGGACGAAAGTGCAGGATGGGGAAAGGAGGGGTTACGAAGTCTGCTGCATGCAGCTGGTTTCCGCCCCGCCCCACCCCTGGGCCCATTCCTCGACACATGGGCGCCTCCCCGCCAGGAGGCGCCACGAAGACCAGTTGCGTGAGCTGATTCTCTACCCTGCCCTTTGCTGTCCTACCCCCTCGTCCCCCCCAACAGGAACATCGACCTCTTCCACCAGGGCCTGTACCTGCTGAGGGCGAGGCTCCGCCGCGAGACTGACGGACGCCTCGCCGCGGCCTGGGGAGCCGTGACGCACCCCTCACAGCAGGCTTCGGCAGAGCACTCGAAGAACGCCCGTCCGGACGCCCATTGCCTCTTCCCGTCCCAGGTCGCGGAGGACAGGGGGGAGTTCTCGTCTTGGGCATCGCGTAATGGGGAGAGCGATAACTGAGGGGCCGGCGAGGGATGCAGAAAGGGTGGCCTTCTAGGACCTAAAAGAGGGCCTGCAGGGCCCGGAAAGCACACCTTTCTCCCCCCTGCCCCATGTATCGTCCCCCCACTAAGCGACGCCCAATCATCGCGATGTTTCCTCATCCGCTACTGCGAGGAGGAGGTGGAGCTTAACGAGATCGCGCAGTTCCGCTTCGAGCTGAACTCGGCGGAGCCCGCCTCGAGCATCGGCGCGCTGCTGCTGGAGGTCGAGCTCGTGTTCGCCGACCTCGCGCAGCACGGCGGCGCGGACCGCTTTGCCGAGCAGCTGGACACGTCCTCCGTGGAGTTTAAGACCGCGTGCACGCAGGTCCTCCGCGTGACGGGAGCTCAGGACGGACTCCACGAGTTCGTGCCCGTCGTCTTCGACGAGCACCACTTCTGCACGGTCGGCCTCGCGGTGCACAGCGCGCTCCTCGACTTCCGCTTCCGGCTGCCTCGGCCCCCCGGCTCCGCGCCGGGCGACGCCTCCTCACCGCCAGCTTCTGGGCCCCGCGCCCCCGAGGCCAAGGAGGCCTCGGGCGCGCACGGCCGCCAGGGAGAGCCGCGCCCACGGCCCAGCTCCAGCGCGCTGTCGCTCGAGGAGCACCTGTTCGCCTGCATCGAGGGCGCCGGGCGGGAGCCGCTGCTCCACCGCACCGAGGCGTTCTGCCAGCACCACATCGAGCTGCTGGCAGCGTCGCGCTCCAGGGTCGTGAGCTGGGCCGAGGAGACGATCGCCACGTGCCTGGCGCCCGTGCTCCGCGAGCTCCTGGCGCCCGAGCTGCTCCTGCCCCGCGAGGCCCGCCAGAGCGCGTCGGCGGCCGGCAGCGTCGGCAGCATGTCCACGACCTGTTCGGAGGGCAGTGCGAGCGGCACGCCGGCGTTTGTCAGGAAGCGCCTCGAGGCGGCCGCTGGCACCTCCGGCGCCGGCGGCGAGGCGTTGCAGAGAGCCCTGGCGGCGCAGGCGGCGCTGGAGCTGGCGGCCGCTGGCTGCCGGGTGGCGGAGGTCTGGCACGAGCTGCTGGCAGTCCTGGTCCACGCCCCCGGGGAGATCTCCGCGTCCCTCAGGAGCGGCTGGGAGCGTGACTTCGCGGCCCGCTGGTCCCGGTGCATCGTCCGCGAGCCCCTGCGCACCGACGTGCATGTGGTGGACGAGGACGACTGCGAGGAGCACGGCGTGGCCGCGAGCGCCCTCCGCGAGGCGCTGCTGCTGGAGGAAGGAGGTGGTCGACCCCCTTCCGTGGAGGACAGGTCGCTCGTCCCCGCGGCGGGGCTGCGCCCCGTCGTCTTCGAGCAGTGCTACTTCGCAGGCGCCGCCGCCGTGCGGCGGCCGCTCGTCCACGGCGGCGTCCACGGCGTCCCGTCGACGCCCCCCGAGGCCAAGGGCACCCTCCCCTCCGACCCGAAGCCATACCGTGGCCTGCACCTCTTTGTTCTCGTGCACGGGTTTCAGGGCAACTCGTTCGACATGCGGCTGATGAGGAACAATCTGGCGCTCGCGTACCCGGATGCGGCGTTCCTGTCGTCGACCTCGAACGAGGATTAAGTCGGGCCTGGCCTTCTACACTCTACAGGGGGAATATTCAAAAATAGTCAGGAAACAGTCTGGTGATTATTTTTGAAGTATTTTTTGACCAGTTTGGAATATTTGTTTGAGTCTGTTTAATTTTTCGTCGAAGATCCCCCCCCGTAGGGGGACACGCCCGACTTAGAGCGAGGACGACACCGATGGCGACATCTCCGAGATGGGGGTCCGCTTGGCGGCGGAGGTGCGGAGCTACATTGCCGAGTGGTGCCCCGGCTCCGCGCTCGGGCGCCTCAGCTTCGTGGCCCACTCGCTGGGGGGCCTCATTGCGCGCTCCGCGGTGGCGCTTCTGGAGGAGTTCCAAGGTTCGGAGGTGGACAGAACCCCCAACAGTGACACGTCGATTAGTGAATTGTCCGTTTTCGGCTCTCGAGAGGGCGCCGTGGCCGTTATTTTCCAGGCTTGCGCCCGCCAGGTTTTGGCCTCAGGGCGTTTTCACTAAACCACGTTTTACTAAAGGGGGGTCTGTCCATCCCCGAAAGGTCAGATGTACACTTTTTTGTCGTTCAGCACAGCCAGGGGAACAAAAAGTGAAGTAAACAGAAAATCTCGGAGGTCCGCGCGGATTCCTCGGATCGGCGCTGGACCCCCCTCCCCGGCGCGCGGAGCGCGCCAGCGGCGGCGCCGGAGGCGCCGCCGGGGGGCCCCAGCGCGGATCCGAGAAATCCGCGCGGGCCTCCGGGTTTTTATGTTTATGCCACTTTTTGTTCCCCTAACAGCGCATCTGGGGATTTTTCAGGATAAGATCTCGCTGTTCAACACCGGGTTCTGGGTGCTGAAGGCGTTGAAGCAGTCGGTGTTCCTGCAGCAGATTTCGATGGCGGATCACGCAGATCCCAGACAGACGTTCTTGTACAAGCTCAGCCAGTCGCGATGCTTCGAGTTCTTTCAGAACGTCGCTCTCATGTCGTGCTGGGAGGACCAGTATGGCCCGTTCCGGTCCGCCAGGGCCGAGTTCTGCGACGAGTGGGCGGACAGGGCCGACCGGAGGGCGATCCGCGAGATGGTGGACAACTTGTGGGGGCCAGTCTCGCCCGAGCGAGTGAGTCGTCTGGACGTCAGCTTCGTGCTGCCCGACGGGAACCTGGACTCCATCATCGGCAGGGCCGCGCACATCCAGTTCCTCGATTGCCAGCCCGTCATGAGGATGCTGGTGCACAACTTCAGTCACTTCTTCCGATGACGATTTTAGCGACCAGGCGGCGCGAAGTGGCAGCGGCTGATGCTGTTTCTCTCCCGTGGGAAGGCGATGCGATGCAGCACTTGTCCGTGTTTGGGTAGAGGCTGCGGAGTCGCGCGGCTAATTCGGAAGCGTCGATGAGAAGCAGGCCGAAATGACCGCGAAGGTGCACGTTCTGCGCCCGCTTCTGGAAGGGTCGGGCATCGGGCCGCGGTTGCATGGGCGCGCGCGCACAGAGCCGAGCGGCGAAAATTCGGTGGGATGTCTGTGCCCGTCGGCGGCGGAGGGGGGGCGCGTGGGTCGGGGTGCACGTCCGGGGGATCAATTGCAGTGGAAGCCCATGCCAAGAGACGCCGTGCTTGCCTCCAGGGTGCCCTGGGTGTCCTGGGTCTCGATGTGTTCTGCTATGGCAAGCGCGACGCGCCCACGCCGAAATCGATGCGCGTCCTGGGGTCTCAGGGTTGGGTGTCTTGTGGCAGGTTTCTTGTGGTCGGGCCCCTCCTGCATGGCGCGCCTTCGGGATGGTCCAGACCTCCCCCGCTCTCCCGGTGGGCGCCGCCGCGGCGGCAGCCCCCTTTGCTTGCCCGCGGGCCACCCGTCCTTCCGCCGTGGATGGGGAGTCCAGGACGGGAGGGGGGCCCAGGCGGAGAATGAGGAGAAGGAAGAGAAGAGGAGGAACGGGAGGAGCCAGAGAAGGAGGAGGAGGAGGAGGAGGAGGAGGAGGAGGAGGACGAGGGAGGAGGGGGAGGAGG